TATTTTTGGAGGTAACGAGTTTTCGTTCATAAGCATGTTTGGCATTATGTAACGTTCTAGATAGGAGGTTAGAAAAGGATCGATGAGACACGTAATCTTGTGAATGGGCACTCCTCCTAAACCGTTGCCACAAAGATCTCTTGTGACGAAGCATCCTCGATATGTTAGAGTTGATCCAGGGCTTTGAGGGGTCACAGTATACCTTCTTTTCAACAGTATTGTCAGCCGTTTCGCTTAGGACTCGTTGAGCGAAAGTGTCCCACATATCTTGGGTGCTACGGTTGTTAAGCAAAGCAGGCCAGTTGACTTCAGACAGGGCTTGGTTAAGAGCATCGTGGTTTACAATTTTGATGGTTTTAAACTTATCGGTTGTAGAACGACTATTTATATTGAACTGGAGAGAAGATAAAAGTGAACAATGGTCAGACTTGCCAAAAGGTGGCAAATAATCTAAATTAGAAACAAAGTCTGCGTCGTTAACGAATATCAAATCCAGAGCCCTAGGCGTCTGTCCTTCCCTGAATCTCGTTGGACGATCAACAAGTTGAGATATGCTAGAGTTGCGTAGCAAGTCGATGTAAGCAGCAGAAGAAGAATTGCATTCAGGAATGGTTGACATAGGCCAGCTAATGTCACGTAGATTGAAGTCACCAGCTATGAAAAGGTTGGTGTTTTTATTTAAGAGATCTGAAATGAGACTGCACAGGTGTGTGTCTCCCAAACAGGGCCGTGGCCGATATATGCAGCCTATCGTGAAGCTGAAATTTGGGCACCTCAATTCCAAAAATAGATTGTCAATGCCATCGAAAGAACTGAAAGAGGGAGATACCGAGAAAGCCGACGCGATTTCCGTGCGAACATAAATGCATACTCCACCAAAACCAGGAGTGCGTGGTGAATCCATTCTGTATAAATAGTATCCAGGCAAATTGATGGAAGAGTCTGACACGTTGGAATGGAGCCATGTTTCAGTAAGACAAACGAACGTTGGATTATTGTCTCGAACAAATGCTTGGAGTTCAAGTAGAGTAGAGTCAGAGGATACTCCAGACATTCCACTAACCGCATCATTAACGGATAAAAATAAAATGAATGCACCTGAAGTATCAACTGACTATAACGAGGAAGTTTTAATGGAAGAAATTGATGAGCTCGAGTATGACAGTCTGGCTTTGTTTGCCATAAATTGCAGGATGAGAGGTTGAAAAGTTCTTCAAATTAAACTTATTCCTGGCTAGACCATCTTAGTAAGGGTGGATAATCAAAACCTTCCACAGCTTTCATGAATCAAATTGAGAACCTGAACAAGGCGTGTTTACTACATTCAATGGGGATGGAATAGTGATAGAAAAGCAAAATTTTATAGGCGAACAGCAACATTGACTGCCCTGAAAAAGCTAAAAAACTATTGTTCAGGTAAAGAACTGTATGATAGTATGAAAAACCAGAAAAATTGTAAAAGGAAATGGAGAAAAATTGTTGCATCGGCGGACGAAAATCGAACAGCGGAGCATTCGGTACTGACACCGACCTTTAAATTGTCCAGAGAGTACCAACAACATGCTTTACGCAGGTGTAAGAATGTACCTATGCGATGTTTATCTTTCTATAGCATAATGGGGATGACGTTGCCAAGTATACGTTTCCTCTTAGTCTAGGGAAAGTATGCATGATCTGGCAACACCGCATGGGGGTATCTGGGAATCTTTTTATACTCCTACCACGAAGGCCCAAGGCCTAAACGCCCATGGGCTACCGTGGGGCTATAGGGGAATACAGGGGGGACGCCACACGGACTCTGGCGAGGGAACACGTGTGCATGCAACATGGACACATTCTGGCTCCGCCTACGAGATCCGCCGAGTGGTACCTCCGCATTCGACACTCAGAGACCGTCTACCACTTACGAACAATCAAAACATCCATAGCCAAGAGAAACATTTCTCTTGGGACAGGATTCGAACCCGCTCAGCGCACGGTGACTCATGTCCCTCATCTACGAAGTATCAACCCCATATTGGTTCAAATAAAGGAGATACCCATTGAACCCCACGTAATTCCAGATTTCATCGTACCCTATAGTCGTCGGAAAGCTACTTATTGAATGGCCCCTGTATACAAAAATTGTTTTCGATCTCTTGATTCCCGCTGTTTCTAGTAAATACCAGATGTTCGAAACGGGTATATAAGCTGCCAGCCACTTGTCGGAGGACCAGCATTTCAGCAGTGGATATATGATCCGAACAGTCAACAACAGGTCAACAAGCCTACCAGTTCACGGGTTCAACACAAAACTTGAGCTTACAAAACATGCTGCCGCACTTGCTCAACAACCTTAGCAGGATTACTATGGGGTAGTCATACTTCTATCAAATTTGAAGACTGTTACTTTTGCTTAACAAAGATTCTACGCAAACATAAAATAGTGTATCCTAATATCCCCTCAGTCTAGACCTGTACCTCATGATTCTCCTAGCATACCTTTTCCTAAGCCTAAAAGAAATATGATGAACTAGATGATTCTGACACACAGGAGCCAGAAGCCGGTCCAAGTTTTTAAGAGGAAGTCGTTGTCGAATGTAGCAGCAAATAGCCACGTTTTATATCTCAGGAAGAGCACAAAGATCTCTAGTTAGTGATTTAGATCTTCCCAAAAGAAAAGCAGAAGTACTTGGGTCTCGTTTGCAGCAATAAACCTTTCACAAACAAGTGTGAACGTTTCCACGTTTCGGAACAGGCAGTCTATGCTGGCCGTATTTTTCTCGATGGAAAATCACTTAGTTTACTCTCATGATATTCCAGGTTTACCGAATGAACTTGGCATTTCCTATGTACCTACCGAGTGGCGACTATTGACTTTTCGAACACAAGTCTGAAGGCAGTTTTGTTGTTCAATGGAAACGAACGGTCATCAGTTCCCGTTGGTCATGCTGTAAATATGAAAGAAACATACCAGAACATGCGCATGTAACTCAAAGGCATAAAATGCGAAGATCAGAAGTGGAATATCTGTGCCGATCTCAAAGTTATTGCAGCGCTAGAAACCAACATTATTTAGACATTGAGATCGTTGTGTCCAGCCAGAAAAATATGCTTAATAAAAATAAACACTTAGTAGATCAACAGAAAGTTTATTTACCTCATCTGCACATAATACTAGGGCTTATTAAAATTTTCGTGAAAGCCTTAGATTCTGCAAATGCATTCCTTTATTTGAGACTGAAACTGAAGCAAAGCTTGAACAAGGAATTTTCGTTGGACCTTTGAGTGCAGTTTCAGACAAGCACGGCGAAATATTTTACCAGCAAATTACTCAGAAACTAGCTACTGTTGGACCATTAGACGTGAAACCGCTCCTGGCGAATACAGCGAAAAAAGACAACCAAATAAATTGTTTGTTTTTGTATCAATAAGAAGTATATTTTCTAAAAAAGTGGATTTGTTTTTTTTTATTTTTAAAAATTATCGTTTATAATTTGTCATTTTCATATTTTATATATATCTCTAAAAACTAGTGGGTGACTGTATATTAGATTTCAGAACATCCCGGTAGACGCAAAAAACCCGAAATAATTTCGGAGAGCGACAAACATTTTCACAATGCCGAACAGTGTTAGATTACACTGTTGGTTTAAAATTTTGGCAAAACTGTCATTAAGTAAAAGAAGCGTGGTCAAGTATCCTTTGTGCGCATAATTGTGTGACTCGCCGTATTAATGAATTTCTATGGCCGGCTAGCCAGATTATAGCAAAAAATCGCGTCGAAAAAAGATGAGCAGGCTGTGGAAGCGATTCACCGATATCCGTAGTGTTTGTTTTAGCAGTGCGGTGCTGGATGTCGGTTATAATACGCAGTTTTCGTGATTTTCGATGTGTTTTTACCGAAAAACCGAAAATGAATCAATCTATCGATCGATGATAATTTTTGATATTCGCGAGTGTTTGTGTTTCTTAGGAACTACTACCGAAAACTTTCTGATACTTTCAAAAATGACACCCTGTTGTTCACTCGTAAGTTGGTTTTAAAAAATACTATCATCTATAGAATTCGAATCATTTGGGTGCTGATGTCTTTTCCTAGTACGAATGATATACAGGGTAGCCCAAAGAGAAACCAGACCAAACATTTATGATAGAAAACCCTTTTTATTTTTGTACTTTGAGATTCTCTTTATGACTTTAAAAGTTTTTTATCTTTTTCTAAGGGTTGATTAACCAGTAAAATGCCTACCTTAGGTTTTACGATCTGTTCTAATATGAGAACTACCTTAAGAGGATATTTATTAAACATCGCCTAGAACATAAGAAAAAAGTGATTTTCTAACCTTAATAGTTCAAACAGAATTAGTTCTATTTTTTTTAATTGGGACAGGAAAAAAACAATGACCAAAAAATCTTTATTCAAAACAATATAGAACAAACAAAACAAGATAAATGGTAACTGCTTAAAAATGATTACTCAACGTTTATTTCTTTCGTTTCAGATTGGTGTAAGTTCAATTGTTTTGGTGACAATCAGTGGACGTTCATATTTTTATCACACAAAGCGTTCGTATTTTTTTCATACAACGGCTGAAACATTCATCTTTTTTCCCACCACGGCAAGTTTTCAATAGGGCATAACTACGAACTGTCATTGTTCTTGCATGTTTCCGATACCTCATCGGATTGTACTGTGTTAAGACTAGATGTTTCCGGTTCTACCTACAAATACCAATTTGTGACATTCATGCTTTTTCCCCTGTACCCTTCAATTATTATAGGCAACTCTTCAAAAATAACGAAACTATTTTGTTCTGAGTGTAATGAAAACTCGTATTTAACATTTCGTTACTTACTTTTGGATGAAAATGTTTCTGTATACCAAGCGAACGTTATAAGCGTAGAACAAAGATTCTGTTTCTACTGTCTCATAAAAAGAGTAGTTTTATCCAAACATTTATTATCAACATATTTACATAATATATTTACAAAATTCGTAAAAAAACATTTTAACATACAGCTTTTATTCATCTCAGTTTAATTCTAACATGGTAACTGTAATATGTATCATGCATTTACCATAACAACATACTCTTGATCATTATCTTTGAGGATGTATCAAATTAATTGATTAACTGGCAACCGAATCATCTCATATAATATATGAATTTTTTTTATACAACATAATATGCTTCTTTAGTGGTTGTAGAAAATGCTTTTGAGATCAACCCTTCGAGTTTCTTTGAGTCTAATATGAACGCGCACAAATCTTTTAGATCGTCTTTATACACAAAACGTTCACAAGTCTTTCATCAAAAATTCAGGATAATATCAGAGTAAGAATCATTCGATTGTGGAAAGACAGGATTCATCATTTGGTAAAAATGTGGATTATGCGACATTTGCTGTGTCAAGTTGTAGTTTGGGCTTGCTATGGTGCCTTCAGCCTTTTTTTTGTCCCCTTCTTTTTCTGTCTTCAATTTTTTGCTCTTATACCTGAAAAAAAAAACAGGTTATAGGTCATCCAACATTTAAAAAGGGACTGTTTTTTAGTTGAATGATTGAACGAAGATTAATATGAACATGTGCCAGAAAAAACGTTACATTTATGAAATATAGAGATTTAAAAGAACTGCTTCCCAAACATTTTAAAACCTACTCCTCTCTTGCACTTACAGTAGCGGACAAAAGTTTGGAAACATTCTTAGTAATTTTTAAAAAGTGTGCTAATTTTTTTATTCTTTATTATTAAGAACTATTTCTTTTTCTCATATAGTCTGCTTACAGTCTTGAGGATACCAATGCCAATATGTGTTTTCTGTGATACTACAGGCTAGCATTAAAATACCTTCAATTATTTTATGACCGAAAATGAGACGAAGTATGGAAAGCTATTTTTTATTACAAAATTAAATACAATAACTCTACAAAAAGATCAAAAAAATATTGTTTAGCTAATATTTTGGTAGCATAGCCTTTAGCATTCAACACTGCCCGACATCTACGGCTCATATACAGACGTCTGTTGAGATATTTTGCCAAATATTTTCTACATAATCAAATAAATCGTTCCTATCTTTAAAAGTTTTTCTTGTCAGTTGTCTTTTAACAAGCTCCCAAGCATGTTCTATAGGGTTTAGGTCCGGGGTTGCGAAGGCCATGTAAGAACATTAACATGTTTTAGACTTAATCAGTCCTTTACGTATTTTGAGGTATGCTTGGGGTCATTATCTTGCTGGAATGTTCATCGTAAAGGCATTTTCTTCTTCAGCAAAAGGGAGCATGTGCTTACTAAGAATATCTTTGTAAAGTCTTTGAACCTTTTTCCCAACAATTTTAACAACTGGACCCGTTCCAGAACTAGAAAAACAGCCCCAAACCATGGTGTCGCCTCCACCATTGTTGGCGACTGATACTTTTTGTAGAATCTTTTTCGTATTGGATATCTCACATATGCCGCACCGTCAGAACCAAACAACTTGAATTTGCTTTCATTGCTCCATAAAACTGTATTCCATTGTTGTTCTGTCCAAGTTTTAGCAAATTCAAGGCGAGCAATTCGATTTTTTTTAAATAGAGGCTTTTGGACTGGACGCCTACCAAAATCCACCAAGCGTCTCTGCACTGTTCTGACAGAAATATTCTCGGCACCCTCTTCAACGATTCTTTTGAAAATCTGTGTGGCTGGCATTCGAGGATTTTCATGAGACAAACGTTTAATGTAGCGATCCCAAACATAATCGGTTTTTTCGGTCTTCCGAACCTGGGCCGCGTTCTGTTGATCCGTATTCTTGATATTTACTAATAATTTTCGAAATCGTCCCTTTGTTCATTTTTAATCTTTGAGAAATGTCAAAATTTCTGACACCACTTCTAAATAATTCAGTTACTTTGTCTCTTAAATCTTTTACTTTTGCCATTCTCACTTTTATTAATATTTATCGCACGCAATATCAGAGTATCGTAGAGCGAATAAATACAGCAAAACTGAAATGTTTCCATACTTTTGTCGTTACAAAAACTGTGGTACTCAAAAAAATAGTTCATAATAATGTTAATATTTGTTTCCAAACTTTTGTCCCGTATGTGTATGCGGTATTGTGATACATTTCCACATTACATCAAAAAATCGGATGTGCAGCAGATTTTATGCGAAACTGTATAATGTGCCATAAATTTAGTCTTGTGACTCGTCCTCCAGGCCATTCGAACCCTTGTCGCTCTCTTGTCAGCTACCTCCCTAATTTTTATTGCCCTATGCTACTCATTTTACGCATGGCACCAAATTTGGATGGTAATAATACCCTTTTGATTTATGTGTCTGGAAGGCTCCCGCACATTGCATAATGTCTAGATCTGTGATTTGCGAAATCGTCATACTTCGAAAATAGAGATTGGCTGTCGTTACTTGATAGAGATACTTCCTAAGGGTTCTTTTTTTTTTTAATTTTCTAGGCCTGTTGGCAAGGAAGTATAGTAATAGCGAAACATTTTTTGAAAGATGAAATGTTACCTCTTTTGGATGTTGTATGGCATGTACCCTTCATAACTTGAAAAGTACCGCTCGGATGCTGATAAAATTTTAACAAAAGGTTACGACTATGCCAGGGATGAAAAAAAATGACTCAAATTCGTTCTTTGATGTTTTAGAGATTTCTACTCATTTTCAGAAAGAGGCTAACAATTGGGCGTGGGGAAGGTATGTTTCATTTTTTTGGCCTCAGTATGTTTATACAGGGTGGCGCATCGAAAACGAAACAGACTCATTTAGGCCCGAATCGTCAGTCGTCCCTACAATTGTAGGGCGCGTTTATGGCCTCCTTGATTGTCATACTTCTTTCTCTCCTTCAAAAATTTCTAGACTACAGTTGTACCGTGGCAGCGTCAGCGCTCTCCTATTGTGAAGATATGTTTTCTTTTTAAATTGTAGGAAATTTCAGGCTGATAAAACATGATATAACTAAAAAGCAAGCACAATTTGATGCAAATAGATGTTTGTGACATAACCTCAAAGTAGGGCACTGACACGGAGAAGTAGAAAACTATGACAATCAAGGAGGCCATAAAGGCGCCCTACAATTGTAGGGATGACTGACGATACGGGCCTTACTGGCAGCTCGGTTTTTTTTTTCGAAAAACGCTCAGACCCGTCGATTTTGTTTTCGAGGGGGACACAAGTTTGGCAAAAAATCACGTTAACACGTGTAGCCCCCTGGGCGGGGGTGACACCAACCCTAAAATCCTAAATGGAAAGGGGGGTCGAGTGATACCTTATTTTAAAGGTCTTTCAATTCCCTTTATAATGATGTAAAATACATGAGTTTCAGTTCAGTAGTTTTGAAGATTTATTGATTTAAAGCTTAAATAAAACTAATACATCATCATTAGTGGAGATCAATTTATTTGGCAGCAAAGTAATTTAAAAATGAAGAATGAACTGACCCGTTAGGCAAGTAAATGTTGAAAATGGCCACCATGACTCTCCATGCAATAATAAAGATTTTGCTCAAAACGTTGCCGCACATTTTGCAATACTTGAGGAGTAATTTGAAGGCACTCATTCACAATTCTATATTGGCTGAGTAGCATAGATTTTGCTTTTTAAATGACTCCACATAAAGAAATCCAAAGGTGATAAATCTGGCGATCTGCAGATCGAACAACTCACCAAATCACAGGACTGTACTTTGTCGCGCCTTCATCGGAGGATAAGGTTGATAGCGTCTCGATTTGGTGAAGTTTGTAGAAGAAGGCAGACAACAAGCTGTAAAGTTCTAGTAAACTCCATCATATACCCAACAGAGTTTTCTAGTGAGGCAATAAAAAAGGCAATACAAAAATCATTGGACACCGCAGTTCAATCTTGTGGTTTGTTTATTGATCGCAAACATCCATTTCTGGCAGCATCGCCTTCATCTACCTATTACAGTAGACAAGAAATGTACTTAATCCAGGTATAAGCCTACCTGTTTAGTGCTTTGCAAAAACTACTTAACTGATTCCTCTTATTTTGACGGCATAATATATTTTTATGACCCTCGTTCAATTGTTACTATGTACCACATGACCCTTGTAAACATAATTGTGTTCATTGACATGGATAAACGAATTTGAATTTGATTTTTTAAATTTATCCTAGGAAAGATATCAAATTATTTAAATACATTTTTTCTTAGTCGGAACACACCGTCGCGTCGCTTGGACTGGCAGGACGAAACAGTAGACGAATTTCGCTCAAAAACCGATTTGCACTTCACAGCTTACGTTTAATTCTTTATTATTTCCAAATGAAACTCTTGCAGCGTGCTAAAAACAAAGTCCACAGGGTGCTAACCATCCACTTTTTCGATTTTATCCACCAGGATCTTTTTAACATATCAAGAAGTTGAGCACAAATAGTAAGCATTTCAACCCACCATAATCCTTGCGCAAAGACAAAATTTTGTAAAAAGCTCTGATAGCACCTTAGGCAATTATGTCTTGCTTATATCCAGAAAAACGTCACAAACTACTGAACACAAATTGAACGTAACGGCGAAATGGGTACATTTCACGGGTCATGAAATTTAAATGAAAATGCAGGTATAAAATATACCAAATTATCGTATTCAATAACATATTTCCTTGACACGCTAAATTCCCCTATACTTGACTGGAGTGACATCCGAATTCATTCTTCCCTACTGTCGGCAGTTGCAGATAGATCTGATGGCTCTTGGTGTCAAACCTATAGAGCAGGTACCGTTTTTTTCAAATCGTGAGCACATCATTCGTCGGATTTTCGTTAGTTAAATTTCCTGTAATCACTGGGATCAGAAGCTTCTTAATAATAGAACGTGTTTCACTGATATCAAAGACGCAACATTTAGAATCACCTTCCCCCAACCCCCACTTTTTAAGCAGACCATTTTTTTTCTGTCAATGATAAGGAACCCTTGTAATGTTAAAAACGGAGTTTCAGCAATTTTTACTTTTTCTTTTTTGCCTATAGCACCGTTGCTACTGGACTTTCATAAAAATCCGGGCGGTAATTTCCAAGTTGATGATGAGTGATATAGTTTTTCGTGATGTAGATGTCATAAGACCTAAAAAATACATAACATCTCATTTTAGAAGTTTTTCGCGATTACAATACTTCCTCGCCACTGGCGTGGGAAATAAAACGACTTTAAAATCGAGGAGTATCAGCGATCCCGATTATGAGTACCTATTTGCAGAACGACTTATCTATGCGATATTATATGAAATTATGTGACAAGATGGCGTCTGGCATACAGGCGTGTGCTCGATGCTCAGATAATTTCATTGTGAACACCAAGAATATTTCTTGCGATTTTTGCAAAAAGTTGTTTCATCATCATTGTGCTGAGGTTGACGACAAATTAGCTAAAGTTAAGCGTGATTGTGCGGGAATCAAATGGTTCTGCAGCGGTTGTCTTCCAATGATAAATGGCAAGCTGAAAATGGCAGATTTTGGGGAAGCAGTATTTAATCGAATACCTGAAAAGTCTGAAGTTAAAATGGTATCTGGTTCACGGGCGTCAAGGAGCAGTGCTAGTGTGCCCGAAAGTGATTTAGCTGTATTGGAAAAAGAGATTGAGTGCCTGGTAAGAGAAAAAAATTTGATCGATAAAATCGCAAACGAGAGAGGTTATATTGTGGAAATTCAGAAAAAACTCATAAGTGACCTTGAAGATAAATTCCGAAGTCAGCCAGTGGGCAACAGCAGCAAAAACAAAGATTGTGTTTCGTACAGTGCTATCGTGAAAAAAATGGACCATTCATATTTGTTGATTAAGCCTGCAGATCGTTCTACTTCGTACAAAACTGTTGAAAATGATTTTAAATCTCGTTATTCGCCTGGTGCTCTTAATGTCAATATCAACAAGACTAAACTCACCAAAAATGGTCTGATGATCAGCTGTAATAGTAAAAAAGATGTGGAGACTCTAAAAGATTCTCTAAAATCTGATTTAGGAAATAAGTTCGATGTTTGTGAGCCTACCAAAATGTTTCCTAGAATGTTGATACAGGGTGTACCTAGCGACTGTTTCAAAAATCCTGGTGCAGATAAACTTGAATTTGTTGATAGTTTTGTTGACGATTTAATATTCAATAACAATTTAGGTGTTAATTCAGATGATATAAAAATAATTAGTTGCTATAAGGTTAAAAATACAAAAAATGTTGTTATCGAGGTGGTTCCTTCTGTGTTTAATTTACTTAGTAGCAAAGGGTTTGTTTTTATTGGCTGGGTGAGATGTACTGTCAGGGAAAATTTATACTTGCTACGTTGTTACAAATGTTGTAAATTTGGTCATGGTAAGAAAGATTGCCGAAGCAAGGATGTTGTCTGTTCTAAGTGCTCAGGTTTTCATGAATTTAGAGATTGTAAAGCTGATGATTCTTGTTGTCGTAACTGTAAGTTTCATAATGATAGATATAAAACTAACTGGTGTACAAAGCATGTTGCAAGTGATACCTCTTGCAGTTATTACAAAATGAAGATCGATCATTTGAAAATGCAGATTGCTTATGAATAATTGCACAAAAACTTATAACCATTTTGTTGTTGGACACCTGAATGTAAGATCTCTGTTTGCTGGCTTTGATTCCTTTGTAGATTTGTTGACTACTGATAACTATGATATTATGGGTATCTCCGAAACATGGATTAATAATGATTTTACAGCAAATATAGTAAATATTCCTGAGTACACTTTTTTCCATACTGATCGAGTAGGACGTGGAGGAGGAGTTGGTGTTTATTTAAGGGATTCACTGAGAGGTAAGCTGGTATTGCAAGATTTTTTATGTCCAGATGGTATGGAGCAGGTTTGTGCTGAAATAGTGTTGAATAATCTAAAAATTTTGGTTTGTGTTATCTACAGAGCTCCTTCGAGCAGATTATCAAGTTTTATTGATCATATAGACAACTTTCTCTCATTTGTGTCTCCTCAGTATGATAATATATGCTTGCTGGGTGATATAAACGTTGATCAAATTACTGACCATTCTTTTCTAGATTGCATTGCGTGCTACGATATGGTATCTCACATCACCCAACCAACTAGGATAACTTTAACCACGGCAACCTCCATAGATGTCATTTGTACAACAAATAACTTAGCTGAATCATTAATTTCAACTAGCTCTGTACCTGTTCCGAATTTGTCAGATCATAATGTAGTCAGATGTGACTTCAACATCACACGGCCTAAGAATTTTCAAAAGACTGTCAAATATAGAGATTTTAAACACTGTTGTAAAGATCAGTTTTTGGTGGATTTGGATAAAATCCCATGGGACGATATATATTACATCACTAACTTAGAGGATAAAGCTACGTTTTTTTCTAATCATATTTTGGATTTGTTTGATGTCCATGCTCCTGTTATTTCATCACGTATTACTAAACCTTATGCTCCATGGCTCACAGGTGGCATAAAATTTTTGATCTCCGAGAGAAATAAAGCCTTTAGAAAATATCAGATTTTAAAAAGTCCAGCTAGTCTCGAATATTACCAGAAATTAAGAAATGATGTCATTTCCGCTATTAGGCGGGAGAAAGCAGCATATATAAGCTTCAATGAACAACTAAATAGTAACAAGCATCTCTGGAAAGCTGTACATTCATTGAAACTCAAAACTAATGTAGATAGATCTTTACCTACACAGTTGAAGAATGCCGATGAAGTAAACAATTATTTTTCTTCCGTTTTCACGCCTTCGGGCAATTGCAAGGATCTAGTTGATAATTTTAATAGTACCAAAATTAATGAAAGTGCTAGATTTGAATTTAGTTTTGCTACCCCACAAAATGTGCTAGACATTATTCTGTCCCTAAAATCTAATGCAGCAGGTTCGGATGGTATAACAGTCTCAATGCTGAAGCTTTGCTTGCCTCGAGTATTACTACCCCTGACGCATTTATTGAACTGTTGCCTGGAGGCTGGGTATTTCCCTGATGCTTGGAAACTATCTCTTGTCAAACCCTTGCCTAAATGTAAAAATCCAAAATGTCTCTCAGACTTAAGACCTATAACTTTGATTCCTGTTATATCGAAGATATTGGAGAAATTGATTAAACATCAGGTTTATCATTATTTCTCTAATAATGATTTCTTTCCCAAGTGTCAATCTGGTTTCCGCAGTGGTTTTAGTACAACTTCAGCTTTAGCAAGGGTTTTAGATGACATCATTGCTTCGCTTGATAAGGGAGATGCTTCAGCACTTGTATCATTAGATTATTCTAAGGCGTTCGATAAAATAGATCATGAGCTTTTATGTGCTAAATTGAAGTTTTTTGGTTTTTCAGACATACCTCTAATGTTTTTTATAACATATCTTTCAAATCGTAAACAAGTAGTAGAGATAGACAACACTATATCTAGTCCGATTGATATAACATCAGGTGTCCCTCAGGGTTCAGTTTTAGGGCCCTTGTTGTACTTAATTTATACTATAGACTTGGGTAGCTCTGTGAAAAACTCTTCTGTGATGTGCTATGCCGATGATACACAGATATATAAAAGCTTTAATAGTAACACTTTGCATACTTCAATCAATGAGCTTAATGATGATTTGGAGGCAATAGTAGGATACTCAAATGGTAATAATCTTAAGCTCAATAAGGATAAGTGCTCAGTGATGCTTTTTTGTCCTGCTGTCAAACGTAACACTGTATTGAATTCTCTTGATGTAAAAATCGACAAGGAGCGTCTAGCTGTCGTAAATACTACAAAAAATTTAGGGTTGATTATTGATTATACTTTACGGTTTAAGGAGCATGTCTCGTCTATCTTGAAAAAATGTTATGCAACGTTGAAGTGTTTTTATGTCAATCGCTCTATTTTGAATTTTAAAGTTAGAAAAAAGTTATGTGAGGCTATTATATTTCCAAGCTTATTTTACTGTAGCACTGTGTTCTATCATTGTCTTGATTCTATCACAAAAGCAAGACTCCAAAAACTCCAAAATACTTGTTGTCGATTTGTATTTAATCTCAAGAAGTATGATCATGTTTCCTTAAAGAGATTTCAGCTTGGTTGGATGTGTATAGAAAATGCTTGCAAGTACCATCTAGCAGTGTTTACACATAAGATCATATCTTCTAGATCCCCCTTGTATCTTTATGAGAAATTTGTTTTCAGACGAAATAATTCAGACATTGATTTCAGACACAAAAAAAGACTAGAGATCCCTATGTATAAAACAACTTTATTTCGTAGTTCATACACTTACAATGCTATCCTGATTTATAACGAATTAGATGACAATATAAAGGATTGGCCAGTAAACAGATTTCGTAAGCATGTGAAACAGATTTATTTGTCATTATATGTTAGTAATTTTGGAAAAGTTAGTTTTTAATTCTTACATTTAATTTTAGTTTACGTAATATATGTGTGTATATATGTATGCTAGGAAGCTATCAAGCTCGTTGTTTTGAAGCGTCTTTTGCTTATCAAAGTTTCTTTTGATTGAGTGTTTCAATTGAGTATTTGGGTAGGTTAAGTAGAGTAGCCAAGAGCTAGACTTCCCCTACGTAGAGGTCACATTATGTGGTAGTGTATATAATGTGCCTAATAAAGACATTTTATTATTATTATTATTAAATAGGGCCACCAAATTATTTGAATACGTCCTTTCTTCAACTGTACATTGCGCCGCAACGCTTGGGTTGGCAGCACGAAACAGTAGACAAAATTCGTCCAAAATACGATTTCTAGAGGTTTGCGCGCTTCGAAATTGACGCTTTATTTTTTGATATTTTTGAATGAAATTTTCAGTGTGCTGAAAACAAAACCCCACATGGTGCTATTGAGCCACTTTTTTATTTTTTTCACTAGATTCTTTTTAAAAAAAGTTGAACAGAAAAAGTGCGCACTTCAACCCATCATCAAACTTGTGCAAAAACAAAATTTCAAAGAGTGCTCCTATAGCACCCTCGGCAATTATCTTCTGAACATCTGTATGAATTTCATTCAAAAATATTGAAAAATGGAGAGTCAGTTTCGAAGCAGCTGAACCCTTGTAAATGGCTTGAAACTCTGCGTCGGAGCCACCTTAAGCTTGAGTTAATTTCAAGTCAAGTAGTGAATCCCTATTCTGTAGAAACTCGAATAAAGCTGAAAGCCATGTTGCTCACTTACCTTCTGTTTTGGAACCATATTTTGACTTGCGTTGGTGTCAGTTTCAGACCCTGTGCCATTTGCTCCCTTTCGGGTGCCGAGAGGTACTTCTGCCTTTTAAACCTCTGCTCGAGCTCGTAGATTTGTGCTTGAGAGAACAGCACCCTTGGTTTCCGTTTCGTCCTTTGTCTGGCCGCTTTTCGGAGTTCTGTATTCGAACTGGTCACTTGTTGGGTTTCTGGAATTTGTTGGGGTTGAAATTCATTTTAAGATACACGAATATGTTATCGTATTTTATTTATCCGCCATGTTGGACTTATTATCTTTGACAAAGACTGGTGCCAAGTAGATTGGCTGGTACTTTCCATGTAGTGATATAAGTGTTTTTGAAATGTTAGGTACAGTCTGTGAAGACTAAAAGTTCGCCAATTTTTGCCGAACAGAGAAGGTTAATAATCACTTTAAAATGAAGTAATCTCAGAACACCGATCGGAGTTTTGTAAAGCAACATTTTGCCTTTGATGTTTATTACTACAAATTAGTCAATTGGCTTTTACTTTCTAACACGGTAAACTGTACCTCTATGCTGACCATACGCGGGTGTACTATATTTATCGCTCATTAACCTGACCTGATATAATGACTACCGCCTAAAGCCACTTGCTAATGATTGAGAAACCGCAGCTTGGAGTTAAAAAAATGAACTGGTTAAGTTGTTTCGATTTGAGAACTTTACTAACATACAGTAACGAAGTTGTGGGCCTATTGTAACATTCCACCAGTGACTATTTTTTGCTGCGTCCAAAAATAACTGTGGACTCGTAAAGCACAAAAACAAAGTTTAGGGGTCTCAACAAGTGGCACATCCTCCATCGATATACACTTCAATCTCTTCTTATTTTTGCTGATAATCCAGCAATGTTTTGATTTTGGATATACCGGGTGTTTCAAAATCGACTCTCCCCATTGAGATCTCGGAAACGGTAAGTCGCTTAATAGTAACTAACAAAATGCCACTTACAAAGTTTCAAAGTTCAAAGAGATAAAAAAACAGAATTTTCACAAAATCGATTTAGTTTTTTCTTGGCTTTATTTGTAGTGGGTTTAAAAATAAATTCCACATCAACATTGCAATTTTTCTTCTCTACAAGATGGCATAGTGACAATTTTAATATGACGTTTCGTCAATTGTCCTCCAGAATGTATCCCAAAATTATTTTTATTCTTTCCTGACTTTATTTAAGCTGAGATTTCAAAATAAATTGCATGTTCTCTATTGCCATTTTATCTATTGTACAAGATGGCGTAGTCAAATTTTTAATTTGAGGTTTCTTCTTTCGACGTCCATCACCAACAAATTACGTATTATAAGGAAGTAAAAAGGTACGGTGAAACCGTAAAATGCACATTTTATGGATGGTAATAACAATAATCATAAAAAGCAAAGGTAAATCATAGCAGATGTTCAAAACATTGTTCGTTATATTGTAGCCAAAGACTGACCCTTCTCTGTGCATTACTCACTGCTCGGTTTATTTCCTTTCTTCGCGGTCTTCCAAGCTCTGCTATTATGTTCAATTTTAGGTTTTCAGAACTGTTCAAAAATGCCCTGCCTTTTATGTCCTTATAATTTTTGTCCGAACAACAAATTCATGGCCAAATAAGGAAATAAAAAACTAAATTTAGGAGTGAAAACTCCATTCAAATGTATAAAATTCCAGTATAGCGTCCATATGAAAAAACAAAGTTGCTGATGGAAGTCGAAAGAAGAAACCTCGAATTGAAAATTTAACAACGCAATCTTGTAGAGGAGAAGATGTGGCAATAACAACATGCAGTTTATTTTGAAATCTCATCTCAAATAAAGTCAGGAAAAAATAAAAATGATTTGGCAATAAATCGGGTATATGAAACAAATGACTATCCGATAATTTAAAGGCATACCTAGAAAATCTATTTCATTGAAATTACTAAGGTTTGGCAATGTTCATGTATGATGTATTATACAGGGTGTTTCAGTTTATTGTTGCATAACTTTAAGATTCGATAGAACTTTTAAAATTAATGCATAAAGTCTTTATAAACATGGGTCGAAAAATGCGTGTCTTCCGAAATACAGGGTGTTTAAATTTACTTTTTAAAATAGTTTTTTTTAAATATTTCGAACAATATTTGATGTATAACAGTGAAAATTGGTATACAAGGGTACCTGTAGTGTATTAAAATGACCGAACATTTTTTCTTAGTGCAATTTTTTGATTTTTGAATAAAAAAACTGATTCTTCGCACTTTTCTGCATAAAAAAGCTCTCCTGAGAGTTTTCGTTATAGTTAGCCGTTTTTGAGATATTTCGATTTTTAAGGTTCGATGCATTTTTAATTATTTATGGGAAAATAATATTTTTTTTACATTTTCGATTTAGGCATTACAAGTAATTAAGATGATCGTTTAGATTGTGTTTTTAAATACAGCAATAATTCCTACTACTCCAAATAAACACAAAAAACAGAATATTAATTTGTTTAATTTTCCAATATCATTTTTAACAAATTAAATTAATTATTTACAACTAAAATGCTATTGGATAGTTAGGACAAACATACAAAATCTAAAGTAGTTGCTCGAAATGTAAACCCAATTGTTCAATACACAATTCACATCTACGAATGATGGAACGTGGTATAGCATTATTCAAATAAGGCCTTATTTCATCACATGCATTCCTGATTCTGTCTATTAGCATATCTCTTGTGGTTACGGGAGTCAGGTACACTTTTTCTTTTAGAAATCCCCACACAAAGAAATCTAACGGATTTAGGTCAGCGGATCGTGGAGGCCAGGCGACTGGTCCTCCACGGCCGATACATCTTTCTGGATAATTTTCGTCCAGCCAGTTTCTAACTATTCTCGAATAATGAGCTGGACAACCATCAAGCTGGAACCAGGCCAATCTTCTTAAATCTAACATAACATCATCCCACATATTTGCATGTTCAGCCTTCAAATATTCCAAGAAGGTCGCAGCATTTAACCTTGCAGGCAAAAGGTAGGGTCCAAATAGTCGATTACGGTAGATACCAATCCACACGTTCATGCTGAAAATTTCTTTCCCGAACTGCATGCGGATTTTCATGCGACCAAATATGTTGATTATGAAAATTTACCACTCCACGTCTAGTGAAGCATGACTCATCGGTCCATAAAACGTTACTTAAAAACTCCCTATTATTATCAGTTCTATCAAGAATCCACTGACAAAATGTGATTCTTCGTTCTCTGTCCCCTTGCTGTAGTCCTTGCACAGGTTGCAAATGGTAAGGACGTCTATGGTCATTTCTAAGAACACGGTGAACATGGCTTGCTGAAATTCCCAAGGCACCAGAAACTCTCCTAACACTTGTGGTCGGATCTCTATCAAACTCACGCAGAATCATACGGGTAAATCTGCGCTGACGAACATTTATGTTTTGATCCCTTTGGAGATTTCCTAAACAATTTTCAATTATTTGGCGTTGCACTCTTACAAATACCGAGCGAGTTGGATGTCGTCTGTTTGGAAATGTTCGTGTGTATTCTCTGGCTGCTTCTGCTGCGTTTCCATTTACACAGCCATACACAAAATGAATATCCGCTAACTCTTGATTGGAGAATAAAAATGGCATTTTTATAAAATTTACAAAAAAAAAACAGGTAAAAGAAACTAAATTTCGTGCATTCACAATTGCAAAAAAAACGTTTCAGGTTTCAACAGACAACAAAACTAACTGTCAACTAATTGACGCTTAACCTTATTCTGCTTTCAATTTCAAAAATATTTGCAGGCACAGCCTACTTCTAAAAATTATCGAGATACTGACTTTTTAACGTTATTTTATCATAAATAATTAAAAATGCATCGAACCTTAAAAATCGAAATATCTCAAAAACGGCTAACTATAACGAAAATTCACAAGAGAGCTTTTTTATGTTGAAACGGCGAAGAATCAGTTTTTTTGCTCAAAAAGCAAAAAATTGCACTAAGAAAATTTTTTCGGTGATTTTAATACACTACAGGTACAGTAGAGAGCGCCCTCTAGCGGCTACAGTAAAACTATGCCCATGGTTCGTTTTGTCGTACCAAAAAACCCTTGTATACCAATTTTCACTGTTATACATCAAATATTGTTCGATATATTTAGAAAAAACTATTTTAGAAAGTAAATTTAAACACCCTGTATTTCGGAAGCCACGCATTTTTCGACACATGTTTATATAGACTTTATGCATTAATTTTAAAAGTTCTATCGAATCTTGAAGTTATGCAACAATAAACTGAAACACCCTGTATAGTGGAATGATAATTAGCTAATCTAGTCATCTATGCAAAAATCCTTTAGGGCGTCCATCAGAAAAAATAAAGTTGATGTTGGAGGACAAGAGAGAAACGTGATATTAAAATCTGATTATACCATCTTGTAGGGGAGAAAACGTGGCAATGTTAATGTGCAGTTTATTAGAAAATCCCACTATGTCAGGAAAAAAATTAAACGGTTTGGGAAAATTTAGTTTGTCATTTCGGTCAATAGAAAACCTAAAACCACGATTGCAACTACATCCAAGGCCAAAAAATGTATTTTTGCAGAATGCGGATCAAAGAAGGGTAAAGTACTCACTTGGACTTTCCAGTTTGACGTACCCTTCGCACCTCAACTCTTTGTGATCCCTGTCACAACCAATGTCATTCTGTTGGTTAGCATTCTGGTAGAAGCAGCTCATTTGCTGGAAATTCGCACCTGTTTCAGGTTGGTATGCGTCACAACCCCAGTATCCTTTATTGTAACTGTCTACGTCGTTCTGGCAGTAGTACCCGTACTGGTCGGCGTTGTTGTAGTAGTAGTTCTCCCAGCATGGGTTGTGGACGTCGGCGTAACCTTCCCTCTTTATGCACTGTTTTAGAAAGTGTAGGTATTACAATAGATAGAAGAAAAGATCTTACATAGTTAACGTTATAGTGGTCTTGAACACCGAAAAAATACAATTTCTACGACATTTATACGATTTTCAGTACAGTTGAAGGTCACTTCAAAGTCATATACAGCCAATTTTTACTCCAACAACCGTTTTGATAATAATTTGACTCCTTTCACTCTTCATACAGTAACACAAGAAATCGTTCTTGATATCATTTTATCGATTAAATTGTCTGCCACTGGGAGTGATGGATTGAATTCAATAATGATACGACTTTGTTTGCCAGAAACACTTGACCACATAACTCACATAGTAAATATGTGTTTAGAGAAGGGCTTTTTCCCAACAAGCTGGAAAGAAGCTGTCATCACACCTATTGCTAAAGTCACAAACCCAGCTGAATACCATGATCTTAGACCGATCAGCATTTTATGTTTTCTTTCTAAGATATTAGAAAAGATCGTCTATCTACAGCTTATTCAGTACCTTGAACTTAATCATATGTTTCCGATACATCAGTCTGGATTCCGCAAGAATCATAGTACTACAACTGCTTTGTTATATATAATTGATAACATAATCAGAAATTTGGATGATCGCATTGGTACAATATTGGTTATGCTTGATTTATCTAAAGCGTTTGATTCTGTGAACCACCGTATACTTTTGAGTAAGTTGAAGTACCTTGGTTTAGGTAATACTGCTCTTATGTTCTTTGACTCTTACTTGTCTAATCGAACGCAAAAGGTGAAAACTAGTAAAGGTGTATCTGTGCCCAAGTATGTTCCTTCTGGAGTTCCACAGGGCTCGATCTTGGGACCTCTACTTTATTTGGTTTTCACGTTTGACTTGCATAACAGTGTTGAGCATTGCGCAATCCAAACTTATGCAGACGATACACAGTTAACATTTAATTTTGACTCTAGCAACTTCAATGAAATTTCTTATAAACTTAATGTCGACTTAGCTAATATTGATAATTTCTGCAAACGACACTCACTGAAAATAAACCCTAGTAAATCGAATGCTATTGTCTTTAGTCCACATAATTTTCCAGTTAATGTTGTTGATCTAATCCAACTGTCTGTTAATCATACTGTCATACCCTTAGTTGACGAAGCAAAAAACCTGGGCGTTATTTTGGATAAAGACCTCCGTTTTAATCAGCACGTGAATGCCACCCTTAAATCCACATATATATCGTTAAAATTATTATATTCAAACGGGCACATTCTTAATTTCAAAACGCGGAAAAAACTTGTTGAGAGTCTTGTTATGTCTAAAATATTTTATTCGCAGGTTCTTTATTATCCTTGTATTGATTATAACACTAAATATAGACTGCAGAAAATCCAAAACAGTTGTTGTCGGTTCGTATATGGCCTCAGAAGGTATGATCACGTATCGTCTAAGATAAAAGAGTTAAAATCGCTAAAACTTGATAAAAACTATACTTTCTCTTTGGGTGTATTTGTCCATAAATTGATTTCCACAAGGTCACCCATTTATCTTATGGACAAACTTGTACCTCGTGGTCAAGTCATTTCTAGAGCCCTACGACATAACCATCTCTTCGGTATGCCATTCCACAGAACATGTATATTCCGAAGATTTTTTACATACAATGCTATCAGGACTTACAACTCTGTCAACCAGGTACTCAAGTCCAAAAGCTTACCTGTTTTTAAAATTAAATACAAATCTGCTCTTTTGGAATTGCCTTTTTAAAAATCCCTGATGATTAGCCGACTGATTTTGTAGCTTTTGTAAATTTTCCATGCTTTATACATTCTCTAATTGTTCATTGTTTTCTTTTTATTTTTCTGTACTGTACTATTGTCCTTATTATTATTATTATTTTTTCACTTCGTTTTTGAGGTTAAGTGGTAGAGTAGCCATGTGGCTAAACTTCGCCTCAATTCGAAGGTTTCAATAAAGACATTTATTATTATTATTATATCGACATTTTCAAAAGAAGCCGAGCAGTCAATACCAACCGCATGACTGTCCGAAACGGGGGTCAACTAGTCACTGTAAGGGCATCTGAAGACAAATTCAATGTCACTTCAAGGATGAATTCAAAATAACTAAAACGGTTGAGTCCAGACGCGTGTCATTTTGGTTTTCGCTGTCGTTGGGTCCAAATCAGAGTGCAGTTTGTCCCTAGGAAGGCTTTTGAAGAATTTTAAGGCCTCTTGAAGAACCAATAAAAAGTAGTGTCGAATGATATACCACAAACTTCAAGTTTAACAGTCTGCCATGGCAAAGGTAGATTAAGCAAAGTTTTCATTCCTTGGCCAACTTATTGCTATAATGCTACTTTGAAATAGGCAATAATTTTCATTCATCTTCGATACGTACTTTGGTTTTTCAATTTTTGCATAGATAGACCACTACTACTCATTGATCAAGTTACTAGACAGCGCCGGAAGCTCCCTTTCTCTGGTTTTAGGAGCTTTAGTGAGTTTTGGGCTCTGTTTTACCATTTTAATCCAATTATCAATTTTGCTGGAGTTGTACGTGCCCAGCGTATCTGGTAGCAATCAAAATGCGACAAAAACGATCAAGGCTTTTACTACAACTCTAGCAATACTGCAACGATCCCTTATAAACCATCTGAAAACGTTTGAAATCTTGCTGAACGCTAAATAATTCAGTCCTTTATGAACGGCTGACGTCTACAGTATCCAGGCACTTGTTTCAAACCGATTAATTTATCAGGATCTTCGATCGAATTTCTGGATATTGTTACGTTCTAATTGTCTTTTCAACATTATCTTCGATTATTTTAGAATTCTGTAAATTTTGATAAGCTTGTTCAACCCGAAAAACAGCCTTTTGATACCATGAGACAAATGGGTATTCAAGTTTTGCACCAGTATTTTGAGAAGTGATCCCTGTGTTTTGAAAAGTAAAATCTGTTACAGAGGATATAATGTAAGGGTTTTTCCAAAATTTTATCATCGATATTAGGATGATCTAAAAGAAATGTCAACTTAGTTTTCTGTTTATCTCAAAACGCAAAATATACCTTTTCTCATAAATTTTGAAATGGCTTGTACACCATTAAATATTTTTCCTTGGGAACTTTTTTAAGATGTAAAGTTTATACCACGTTCCTCGACCAGTTTTCGAGTGATTGCTATTAACTCAAAGAAAAAAAATATATCCCACATTTAGACTCAAAATTAGGTCTTCCAGAAAAACAATGAAAATTCTTTTTTCGTTCAACAAGACTCATATCAACCCAATATAGTCAATCATTATGAAATTGTTGTAATACGAGCCCCTTCCCACTTCAGTTCGCCCAACTATTGAAATCTTAGTTTTTTTCTTATCAATCACAAATAATAAAAATGTAGCAGGGTGTTATAGGTTTAAAATATTAACAATGAATACTTTGATAATATATAGTAGAAAACACCAACTTTATCACTCCCCAATCAAATTTGCAGCATAAAAATAACACATGTTGCAATTACAGCATATCAATCTATTTTCATTTCAATGCAAAATAAGTCTATAACGCATAGGTGGCTGTGAAAAATAAAAGCCGTGACAATTGTTTTTATTAATCATTATGAAGTTTAAAATAGTTTTGGGTAGTTAAGGTTTTCAAAATGGGTAGACGAAAGGTTATTAGTGAGAAAATTCGGTTACTGATAATTAAGTTGTTTAATTCTGGGAAATCAAACTCAGAAATTGCAACTTTGTTAGACGTATAGCGGTACAGTGTGAGAAATATTGTTAGAAGATATAACGTAACTGGTTCAGTTAATATTAAGCCACGATATGTGAAAAAAAGTAATATCACAAATGCCGACCCAAGAGCATTAAGAAGAATAATCGTTAAAAACAGGCATGCCAATTATTTACAATTAAGTGCTCTGTGGAGTGACGCTGTTGGAAGGAGAATTTAGAGGTCCACAACTCATAGAGAGGCCCACAAACTGGGATTTAGCACTTGCAAGGTAAGTTTTCTTATAAAAAAAAGAGAAGTAAGACCCTAAAGTTGCACAACTTGTTTATAGGCCAAAGAACAGCCACTATTCACTCCACTGCAAAAGAGGAATCAGCTTAGATGGGCTAAAGAACATAGACAATGGACACCTCAACAATGGTGTGCAATACAATGGAGTGATTCGAAGTTTGTGTTGGTGACAGTCGCAGTAGAGTTATTCGAAAAAAATTAAGCATTCCATGTTGACTGTCTGAAGAGAAAAGTGAAATTTCCAGCATCTATTATGGTCTGGGGCAGTATGTCATCAAAACGAGTAGGAAAACTTCATTTTATTGATGGAAATGTGGATACAAACAAATATTTGGCAATTTTAGAAGAATCACTTTTACCAGTGATGGAAGAATGTTTGACAGCCGGCCAAGATTTTGTGTTTCAGCAAGATGGTGCAGCGTGCCATACCTCAAAAAAGGCTATAAAATGGATGAAAGAAAATAATGTACCACTTTTGAAATGGGTTTCTAGCAGTCCAGATCTGTTACCTATTGAAACTTTGTGGCACGAGATGAAAAAGGTTCTACGACAACATCCTGCTCGTACAATCACCGAACTGAGACAAAAGCTTCAAGAAATATGGGATTGTTTTACACCAAATTTTTGAAAAAACTTGGTTAACACTATGCCCTAAAGAATTTCAGCCATAATAAAAAATAAAGGTGATGTTACCCAATGGTAATCTTTCAATTGTTGCTCTGTTAGCTTCGCGCATTTATTCGCACATTGTTTATTTGTTCAGATGTTCTATTAGTTATAGGTCTAAGTGATTTCAAATATGTATTTTTTACGACTAGAGTGTATCTAAAATGCTTTTGAGAAAATAAATTGTTTTAGAAGTAAATAGTTTCGTCAAGTTTAGTTTATAAAGGCATATTTTGGTAGAAATCTTGAAGCGGGCCAACTGAAGTGGAGAGGGGCTCGTACATTCTAATTAGTTCTGTTGATTGCCAGATATTTTATGTTTTTCCAGTATTTTTGATATTTAATAAAACCTAGCGGATCTCAGAACCGTATCTAGATCACTGCTGCCCTAATAGGTAGTTAGATAAGGAGAGGCGGACCGACATACATAAACGTTATGGTAGTCATTAAAATGGGTAATAGGGGGGGGGGATCAAAACAAGTAAAAAAGTTCATATGACCCATGGTTCAAAAGTCAATAGATTTTGGTCTAAATGACTTTATAGTTTACAACTTTAAGTGCTTTATATCGATCAGAATCACCACAACCTTACTAATTTTTATAATCTAATCTAAAACGTTTTTAAATTGGGTAATTAACAAATAAATGGCATTAGGTTTTTCTAAGTTAAGCCAAAATTTGTAGTGAGTTTCATTAAATTGAATATTTAAAACACACATGACAACAGCGCGTCGGTCATCATCAGTCTTATCGAACCAGCAATCGATCGCAAACGGTAACAATGGTCAGTATGTTGTTTTGTTTTTGTTCGCGTACGTCGTCGTGTTTATTTACAATGTTCTCGAATCAAGAGTTCGACGACATGTTGTTAGTTTACGGTGAAGCTCGTCAGAATTCAAATCTTGCAGCTCAAATTTATCGCGACAGATTTCGCCAACGGGTACAGCCAGGCACAAGGACATTTGTGCAAGTATACCAAAGACTTCGAGATACAGGAAGTGTTCAGTCCACCAATATTCGCACTCGTGAAAGACAGGTTACTGTAGAACAGGAGGAAAAAATTTTAAATATCGTGGAAATCAATGCAGATATCAGCACTCGGGAATTAGGCCGCCGCGTAGGACTATCGCATACCATAGGCTATAGAAGAGTATCCTCGCAGACTAACATTCTGTCAGTGGTTTTTCACAAAAACATTGAAAATCCGGATTTCTTTAAAAACATTCTAGCGTCGGACGAATATATGTACTGTTACGTGAGACGGGATATTAAATTTCCATAATACTCACACGTGGGCCCAAGAAAATCCTCATACCATTCGTCAAGGTAGTAATGAAGCTTGTGTGGAAAGTGGAGGACGACATTTTGAACACCTTCCTTACATACAAAAAAAGTGCAGTGTGGGTTTTAAAAAGAAAAACAATGTGTGTATCAAAATTGTGTTCCCTATTTATAAGTGGATTTTTTTAATACGTTCAATAAACTTTCACACACCAGGTGAAGCGTTGAGACAGTTAGTGGTAAGTCCCTTCTTTTAATTGTTTGCATTTTACGAGTACATTATCAAATAATGAAACAATACCTAAGAGCAAAAAATAACAAACTCAATCTTTATTTACACTGCGTTCCGTAGTAATTTGCGTCAGGCATTGCGGCGTTGTCAGATTTATTTTACTTTAAAGTCGATTTTCTCTAAAAAAATGCCGTTTTGACCCCCATGTTATATGAAACTTTTTGCTTCTTTTAATCCCCTCTATCATCCATTTAAATAATGACTATCATAACGTTACACCCTGTATTGGCCAGCGAGATCTCCCGATCTGACGCCTCTCGACGTCTTCCTCTGGGGCCATGTAAAAGGAGAAATCTACCACACCCGATGACAGGAAACATCGTATAAGCAAGTTGTTTAAGCGGATACCTAGACAAACCCTTTCAGACGTGCAAGATAATTTTAACAGGCGTCAGGCTTTGTGTGCCTTGCACCTAGATAATATATTCGAATAATTTATTACTGATTGCCTTAGGTCTTATTTTTGTTGTGTACCTAAAAGCTATAGTTTTGATAGAAGATTTAATTTTATGTTTAAATACAAGTTGTATTTGGTTTTTCTTGAAATTAATAGAAATAACTCTAAAAAGTTTGAAATCCTATCAATAAAAGTTCATCTAAAAAGGTATTTAACGATGTAGAAACTTTTAAGAAAAGGTACATTTTGCATTTTGAGATACCCTATATAAATAGGAAGAAATTTCAGCTTTTTTCCAGACCGGATTAAAATCGATGATAATAAAATTTTTGTGACCCAAGATTTATTAATAATAATAATAATATGTCTTTATTTTTTAGATAAATTGTAACAAACAAAAAAAAAATATTTTTATTATTAAATGTCTTCAAAAATGGTGGAGCTGCGAGTCGTCAAAGCCGGACATTGTTTCAGACGTTTGACCAACTATCTAAACAATTTTATTGACAATCAAAACCATATGTGATGTGATATTAACCTTCTTGTTTTTAGAAGCTCTATTCATATGTAGAGTAAAATGTATGTTTGCTATGGCACCAAGCTATGAAATCCCCTGTATATATTGAAATAATTTTAAAATCTACACTAGTAAGATATCTAGATTTCCACGAATGAATAAAATAATTTTTCGCAAACCTCGAATTTTTCGTAAAAGGCTGTTTTATAAGAATGCCTAGAACCCGCTTGCACGTTTTTGAAATAAATCGTATCATTTACTTTTCTCATCGCTCCAAATCCAAAAACTGCCCAATACAATTTGGCAGTCCTATGTACATTGCTTTTGTGATGTTGGGAATTCTTTTGGACCTCGGCCATTTTCATGAACTAAAAACGCACGCGTAGAACTAATTCATTTTCCGCTAGTAGCTGAAACTGGGTTGTTAATTGTGATACTGTGTGGTTGTCTTTGCTGTCCTTCGCATTTTCTTGAGACAAAAGCTTGTACCACAGCTGCAGGAGGAAGAACTTTACTAACAATTCAGCTACCATGAGAGATTATTTTAACACACATGAAAGTATGAGTTGAAATTTAAAGTTGAAAGATTAGCTTCATGTCAATCATAATCATGTCTATATTAAAAGGAGTAACTATAAGTTTCCCATACAGTAGGTTGTATAGCTATTTGGTTGATAGAGAAGAACCTAATTTTCTTTCACATTTATCAGGTGTCCACAAATGCCTGTAGTGGTGGCGCATTAGTAAAGTTCCTTAATCAATATGTATGGATCTAAATACTCGCCAAAGTCACGGATTGTGTAAGCGTTGGCAAAAGTTAGTCCTTTTTGTAGAAAAAAAGTCTATAAATTTTGCGCAACAAAAAAGCTAATATATGCATTTTCTCATAAATATGATAAAATTAGATGATTCCCATAGTTAAAGCATTTTACGTTGGCCTTTGAAGTTGCTTAAAAATTTCAAATAACATTAGGAAGGCTCAAATTACCCCGTTTTTCTGCAGCGCACTATAATACTCGGTCTCCCCCTGCTGCATATTCAGAATGTCTTTCACCGAAAAAGGGGTAGTAGCGGAGGCACAGGTTGTATCGCAGGTGATCTCACTAGCTGCGTCAAACTGTTGCAACATTTTCACACATCCACTCACTTCAGAAGCACGACTAATTATGTTAATACTTTTAGACAAATCAGGCTTATTAAGACGTCACACCCGCCCGCGTCCGATGGGATTCGAATCTGGTACGTATGGTGGCCGATCATAGGGCCATGATGGGATGCGGTTCACTTAAACTGTAAATAAGTGTGGCTTTCGGTCTAGTTTGCATTAGCTGGATGTGCAGCCGACGGAGGGATACGCCCCTTATCCAGTGGAGTAGTTTGTTCGGGATTTTGAATTACTTTCCGAGTTTGGAGCAGATCGCTTTCCAGTTATTTATCTCAGTAGGATCTCGACTAATAAGTAAATCCACTACATTGAGCAAATTATTTTACTGTCATTTCGGCCGCTCTAGCAACCTTCTTCGAAGTACAAAGTGAAAATAATGTAAAATGAATTTTGACCGCTCTTTGAAGACAGGCGGCTGGAGTAGGCGAAACGTCAGTAAAGTAATTGGCTCGACATGTCTAGTAAAGATCAATCAGACAGCCCTAGGATGGAGGTCCAGAATTTACATTTATCATCTATTTTGAGATCTTGTGTAATAAGATACCGTAGACATTATTCAAACGAGAACATAAGGAGGAGGATTTAAACATGTGTATATAGGAATAGGCCATTTTTTCGTTCAAAGTAAATGCTTAGGTATCACGACTCTTACTCAGACAGCCTTGATAGGAAACTCCTATGACGGAGATAAAGCAACTAAGGAGAGCTAAAGTATATTCAGATAAGAGATAGACCGGATGTAAACAAAAGGTTCGGGTGATTTTCACGCTAACGCCGCCGTCTCGACGTAAAACAGGAGCCCTCATTGGTCAATTCGCAATTAAATGCCTATGCCGAGCGGCAGAGCAGTCGTATCAAGGCAGAGTCACATTCAGGTTCAGACGTGTTACGTATGTCGTGTGCATCATTGCAATTTGATATTTCTTTGGACGTTTTCGTTTGTTATCTTATTAAGTTGTTGAGTTTGTCGTTGTTATTGTTATACCTTGTTATTGATTGTTATTGTTATCAACTGCTTGCGCAAAATGCCCAGTAGTACAGATACTGCCGATGAAGTTGTAAACTCCTGTAGTCCACCTAGGAAACGCTCTAAAAAAAGACACCTGAGTGCAGAAATTAAAGAGGTCATTTTGAATATATATAAGATCGAGCGCGAGGAGAACGAGGCATCGACCATCAAAGAAATTGTTGTGAAGGTTTCTCACAAAGTTGGGGTGTGTCGCGCATCAGTGTTTAATGTGTTAAGACAATACAAAAAAAATCACACCTTTTCTGAGCCAATGACCAGTAAACATCGCAAAAGTATTGTTAAATCATTGGATGAAGCTGATAAGCATGCGATTAGGAGGAAAGTGCATGAATTCTTCTTTAGGAATGAAATACCTACTATAGATAAAGTACTGCAGGAGGTAAATGGAGATACAACGTTGCCAAATTTCAAACGATCAACTTTCCATGCGTTACTGAAGCATTTAAATTTCAAATGGAAAAAACGGGGTCGTAATAGTTTACTACTGGATAGAGAAGAAATTGTGCTATGGAGGAGGGATTATTTAACAAAAATTGGGAAATATAGAAATCAAAACAGGAAGATTTATTACCTTGATGAAACGTGGGTAAACGCAGGACACACTACAAGTAAAGTATGGGTTGATGATTCTGTAACTTCATCCAGGAGGGCCTTTCTAGATAGACTGTCCACCGGATTAAAAAATCCAGCAGGTAAATACGAGTAATAGACAACAATCGGATGTTTTTCAAACCTTGGGAACAAGGTTCTAAACATTAATTCCAGGGGGCAGATAAAACATATTACAAGTAACAAAACTTTTATAACTTTCGATAAAATGCGTGGATGTTTTATTGTCATTTTCATTTGTTAGAACTTATTTAAGCCATGTTTTTATGTGTTTTCGATATTTCAATAATTTTTTAATATAATCTTAAAATATGTCGAATATTATAAACTTAAAAAAAGTTACTAAGTTTTATATTGTGTACCGTTCCTAATATTTCTAATCATTTTAATTCATACTTTAAGCTTTATAAAGTTATAATTTGTTAATATTAATATTTGCGCGTATTTCAGGTTCCTGATCATTCATTTTTTAAAGGTTTATAACTTTAAATTAAATTGTGAAGCGCTGAGTAATCATACGACGTTCAATATTCTTTCTTTCAATATGACTAAATAATCCCAATTATAGCAATCTGATACTCATGTCTCAATGTTTTTTCGCTGAATGTGATGAAAACATTTGAAAAAGGTTCGCTTATTGAAATAAATCTACACCAGTTAGTACTTCGATTTCCAGGTAAAGGGAAAAGGCTCATTATCTGCCATATTGGCAGTGAGGATGGATTTGTTGTTGACGGTCTGTGGTGCTTTGAGTCTAAGAAAACTGGAGATTACCACGATGAAATGAATGGCGAATCGTTTGAACAGTGGTTTTCAAAAATTTTACCGAACTTAGATGAAAACGCAGTAATTGTGTTGGATAATGCGCCTTATCATTCTCGAAGAATGGAGAAGGTCCCATCAACGGCTTCAAGGAAAGTTGATGTTCAAAATTGGCTCCGCTCGAAAAACATCAACTTTGAAGAAGCAATGCTGAAAGTACAATTATTAAGAATTGTCAAGGATCACAAGGCGGAATATCAAAAATACGCCATTGACGAAATGGCAGCAAGTCAAAATAAAACTGTGCTCCGTTTACCTCCATACCATTGCGAGCTCAATCCCATTGAGCTCATATGGGCAGAGGTTAAAAATTATATAGCTAAGCACAATACAACTTTTAAATTTTGTGACCTCAAAGGACTTTTCAAAGAAGCACTAGAATTAATAACAGCGCAAAAATGGGAAAACTGTATTAAGCACGTGAAAGACAAAGTTGAAAAGAGAATGTGGGAACTGGACTATATTTTAGAGGAACAAGTCGAGCCATTCATTATTGACGTTGGTGCTTCAGGCAGTAGCGATGATGAAAGCTCATCAAGCTCATCTTGTCGTTCATCAAATTCGGTAAGTTATAAGTAATTATAAAGCTACTGTATTTTTTAATTAATTATTGACATTTTTGAACCCATTTTGGCAAAACCTATTCAAGAATCTACTTTCTGACAATGTTCAACCATGCACATTTTTTTACGTTTTGAACGTTTTAATTTGGTTACATATTTACCTAGAAATCAAAAAATACACTAATCAATATTCTAAAAGCAATTTTAAGAGATATACGATTATTTTTAATTTAGGCTAATTTAAACGCCATTTTGAGATTATATTCGACTGTATTTCACCAAACATCAGGCGGCATCCGAAGCTGGAAATCGAAGCGAAAATTTTGAAACCCTTATGTATATTTACATCATTATATATTTCTTACCCCACCCCCACATGATCCTATATCCATCACCAGTCGTATACACATCGAATTGTGCTAATTTACTACAAAGTTACGCAAAGCAGCATCTACTATCTAAAATATGTACTGCGTGACTCTTAATACGTCCCTGCCGAATGTTACAGCGTACGATGATCACGTGGTCTTGTTTATGTCCGGTCTATCTCTTATCTGAATATACTGTAGTTGATATTACTTCTTAACTAGTAAACATTAGTAGTATGTATACGTGTATACAGTAATGGACAAAAGTATATAGACAAATTAATATTGTGCTGTGTTTCTTTTTTAACTTGTTTTATTAATACACCAACCTATCGTACATAATTCGTTGGAGCATACTTCTCATTTATACATAAATAAATTGATTAGACTCCCTTCAATAAAAAAATTAATTGAAAAAACTGGAACTATGGGACAAAAATATATAGACAAAGGAAAACAATTATAGAAAAAAGAAGCAAAGTTCATTGAATTATAGAAAACCAACCAAGTTTGTGTTAATATTTTGTAGCATAACCATTATTGTCAATCACCGCCTGGCATCGTCTCGGCATAGATTGTAGAAGTTGCTTGATATAAGATTCATCAATCTGTCTCCACTTTTGCGCTAAAGCGGCAAAAAGTTTATCCTTGTTTGAATAATTTTTATCTTATATTTCCTTATCTAAGTATTCCCATAGATTTTCAATGGGGTTTATATCAGGAGACTGTGAAGGCCATTTGAGAACAGGTATTTTTTCATCCAGAAAGAATTTCTTTGCGAGATTTGAAGTGTGCTTCGGGTCATTATCTTGTTGGAAGATGGATCTTAAGGGCGTATTGTCTTCCATATAGGGTAACATGACATGCTTTAGTATGTCTGTGTATACAAACTTATCCATAATGCCATCTATTCTATGTAAAGGTCCCATCCCAAACCCCGAAAAGCACCTCCAAACCATAACAGACCCGCCTCCATGTTTGACAGTGGGCAAAGTGTACTTGGGGCTCAATCTTTGTCCACTAGGACGTCTAACGTAATGAACACCATCTGATCCAAACATATTGAACTTGGATTCGTCACTGAAACATACCCTCTTCCAGTCACAGATGCTCCAGTCAATATGCAACCGTATAAATTGTAATCGGTCCCTACGGTTTTTCCTCGAGATTAGCGGCTTCTTACTCGGGCGACGTGCAAATAACTTCAAATCATTTAATCTTCTACTTATAGTCTTCGTAGAAACACTGGCAATTCCTTTTGTCTCGATTTCGGCTTTTATTTGTCTTGGGATCTTTGGACGAAATTACTTTTATTAATCTAACTGATCTAGCATTTAGTTTTCTAGGCCGACCACTCCTCTTCAATATTGCCCAAACTGCTTTACGCTTGAGCTTTAAATTTTTGGCAATGTCGACTTGACGCTGACCATCTTTGTATAACTCAATGATCTTAGTTTTCACATCGAAAGAAATTTCTGGACCACGCTGCATGGTCTTAAAATCACTCGACTTATTCCATAGTACTTGATGAATACATACTAATCCTGTTCTGACACGAAACTGTACTAAACTAATGTTGAAAAGAATTTGTCAACATATTTTTGTCCCTCATAAAAAAGTGCTTATATGCAGACTTGTTTTGTGTTCATTGCAGATAATGTAAAAACAAGGAATTTAGTTTTTCTACTAATAACGCATTTGTTTATGGAGCAATGAAGTATGAATTCGT